AAATACTCGAGTCAGAACTCGAGTCGACTCGACTCGGCACATCACTAGTCACATCTTGAACACCCAAATCGTAGAACGCCTGAATTATGGACGAGTTTTGTTATCCCTTTTAATTCTCCTTCAGGCGTGTATGAAGTTATTTATGTACATATGTATTTATGTATATGATTGAAAGCATGCTGGGTAATCATTATGAACAAAATAATTTAAATCAGCGTTTATCATTATTTTATGATTTTTATGTATTTCACTAAAAATAATAATTATTATTGAATTTTATTCTTTCACTCAACGGAAATAATTATTATTTTATTTTTATTTTTTCGATCACAAATAATGATTATTTTGTGATTTTTATTTTTTCGCTCAGAGATAATATATATTTTTGAGTTTTATTTTACAACTTAAGAAAAATTATTATCTACAAAATTTAAAATTAATTTAAGGACACAACCAACTGAAATTTCGACCTGAAAATTTTCAGACTTACTCCTTGTATTAGGGTGTCGCTAACTCTGCAAAAGAATACGTCGGAAATCAGTTTTTTAATGATCATTATTCTTAAGTAAAAAAATAAAACTCAACAATAATTATTATTTTTAATTACAATAAAAATCAGGTATGTAATAATAATATTATTTTTTTTGAGCGAAAAAATAAAACTCTAATATTAATTATTATTACAACGCTTTTATCAACTTGCAATGTTGTGTTCCAGAAACTTTCAATGTTGTGGATCCAGAAACTTTCAATGTTGTGTTCCGACACCAAAGCAAAGCTTTGAAAAGCTCCTATAAAAAAGCATAGCGAATAGGGCGAGGTAGATGACATCTAGATGTCCCCCTATGTACTACGTTTACTACACCGGAAATAGACGAGACGCCATTTCTTTAAATAAAATTAGTTTGACTATTGTCAACTAAATCGAATGCTTTGTAAGTGACGTGACTTGTGGACCACTTGAGGTATAGGTGGACCAGTTGGTAACCACTTTGGGACTAGTTCGTGGGACCAGTTGGTAACCAGTCGGGGATCAGTCCGAGAACTACTTACCTTTGGACCAGTTCGGGACCAGTTGGTCTTTTTAAGCTCCTGTGGCCGTTTTAAGGGTAATTCTTGGGCTCCTGCACTGCCGCTCGGGGTTTCTGCCTTCTACGGTGGTAATTTTGAGCCGGGTTGCCTGTTTTGGCGGATTGTTGTGCTGTGTGCCGCGTATTACGTGTACCGGGTACCACTTTCTCAAGCGAATTGCTCTGGGGAACCTGTTGTGTGAGTTGCTGGCTTTTTGGCTAGACTTTGAGGAGGGTTTATACACGCATATCGGCGGAAATAGACGACACGCCATTTCTTTAAATAAAATTAATTGGTGCTCGTTTGTATGTACATACATATGTAAATGCATGTGTGTGCACCTTTCTATTAATATCGTTGAATTATTTTAATATCTATTGCAAAATTTTATTCAGGCAGGACTAAAAAGTAGAAAATAAATAATATAAAAAAAAACTTTTTAATATACAACGCTTTTATAAATGGACTAAAAAGTAGAAAATAATACTTCTCAGTCCCATAGAATTTGTTTTGATAACTTTTGATTTTGAAATTTTAGCAAAAGTCATTATAAACAATCTATGAAATTGAAAATGAAAAGCGTGGGGCGCATGTAATACACTTGAATTGATATGAAAAGTAATATATGAATGTACATATGTATGTGGGTATATGAATAACGACCGCTTAAAATCGATTTCAAAGTTCTGCTTTCGCTGTAGAAATTTTAGGTCTACGTTATGTAGTTTGACTATTGTCAATTAAATCGAATGCTTTGTATTGCACGCGCTCCACGTTTTTCATTTTCAATTTCATAGATTGTTTATAATGACTTTTGCTAAAATTTCAAAATCAAAAGTTATCAAAACAAATTCTATGGGACTGAGAAGTATTATTTTCTACTTTTTAGTCCATTTATAAAAGCGTTGTATATTAAAAAGTTTTTTTTATATTATTTTTTTTTAAACTTCATTGGTTAAACTGGTTCCATCCCTGAAAGCATGTTAATGTCAAAAAATGCAGTGCCAAGCAACTGTAGTGTTACAAGTCGCAACTATTTGTGTTGTTAAGTTCAAACAAACGTCTAACTGTTGCACATTTTTCTTCTATTTACAAAGATTTGTTGGTGGCATTAATCGTAGTAGCAAAAATATTTTTATTTGAACGTACAAAATCAAATGGGGTTGAGGCGTAAGGGTCACTCTTCACTTTGTTCTTTCTGCGCATGCGCAAGTTTGAAGGTCCTGAAAAGGACGCATTGTCAAGGAAAGCCGTAAAGGAGCCACAGCAAGTGAATACGTAAATTGAATACGAATTTCCATGAATTACGGAATATCAATGCAACAAGAAATACATACATATATATGTATGTACAGATAAGTTATGTGTTGCACATACATATGTATGTATGTATGAATTTTAGTTTCACCCCATACGTATATATATTCGTATATATTTATGTAATTGCATGGGTGTGAGTACCAGTACATACATATAAATACTACTTAGAAAAACTTGTACAATTATTAAACTTTTAATCTGCACATTTTTTACAACTTACCAAACTCCAGTAGGATAAAAACTTCGCCTTCTGCACAAAACCATCTGGCACTAGTCTCCGGCTCAACGAGGTTTCCAATTTGTAGCTGCGTTGTATCTCAAATTTATTATAATACAGACCATAAGCAAATTGGCCCAAAGCAAACAGATGTATAATGGTGACAAACACGCGTGATTTATAAAGTTCAACCTTCGTCATTTTGCAAACAAATTTTCGGCGAATTTTCTACGGAAAAATTGAAGCGAATTTGCACAGTTACATATTATACATATGTATGTACGTATATGTATCTCTTATACACTTCAGGTTTTGATGATGGTCCCGTTTGTTAAGGTACTCGTAAAACACTTACATATGTACATATATATGTGTTATACATATGCCCATATACATAAGTTTATGTTTTCAAATATGCATATGTATGCATAAGAACATACATACATACATACACTTTTACTTAGTATTTATTGTATTTTTTCCAATTAATTATTTCAGTGGCACTACCGGAGCTTGTTTACACACGCGCGATTGGAGATTCTTTAAAATCTGCGAAAGAATTGCGTCTGCATTTTATAGAAATCACATTCACTTATATTTATACATTTGTATATGTGCTTATGTATGCATGGAGGTACATATGTATGTATTTGTGACAAATGGAAAGTGAAAATTTATTGTATCCGAAATTGCACCAAATCACATAAAAGCATTAATCTGCATTTTCACTCAATGAAACTCACTTCCACAACAACAAAGGAGGTTTATCCGCATACTCGTTGGGTTTAATGATGATTTTGCATACACACAAATAGATATACATATATGTATGTACGTATATACATATATATTCCTGAATATACATACATATGTACATATGTATTACAGTGACTAGCGGAAAAGTTCATTCAATCATAGAGAGAAAACCCGGAAGAGCGGAATGAAACTTGCGTACTCAATTCTCTAAACGAGGTGAAGGACTAGTTTTATTGTTAAACCTACACAGGTGAGTACTAACACAGCGTAGGACTCATGTTCAATCAATCACAATAAAGTTGTTTCTAACAGCAATCGCCCTCGACAGGTAATGGCAAACCTCCGAGTATATTTCTGCATTGAAAAAGCCAAAAAATTGTACAATACCAATTGGAGCAGAAGCTCGGCCAAGGACTTGGGTAAAAGTGTTACCCCAAATATTTTTTAAATAGAACGAAATTAATAAAATATCTTTTTGGTTTCCTTTTAAATGAAATTTTACTTACATTAACAAGAAAGGAAACTGCCTTGATCGAACTCTGGTCATACTATCCGCTCTACTACACTATTCTATGTGGCAACATGAGGAAATTTTTACAAGAAATTGAGAAGATATGTGGATATTCGCCTTTACAAAAAAAAAAAAAGAAAACATTCACCTTAAAGTAATACTCTCTTAACAATTCTAAAAGTTTTTTTTTTGAAAACAAGAGTTTTTTCTCATGAATGAAATTCCTAATGAATGTAAGTTGATGAATTAGCAGTCTAGAACTAAACTAAGCTAAAAGCATAGCGGCAATTAGTTGGACCAAAATGTTCTACCTATTTTAAATTAATAAACTCAAGTGATTTTCGCTGGTCAATTTGAATGATCACTGTTTTTAGATATACAAACATACAAATGTTATTCCTTTATACATTGTATGTGCTCATTCTACTTGAATGTAATGCGAATATTTATCAACAAAAATTTCTAGGGATGTGAAAAATACCACTGCCTGCCGCACAGACTTAAAAAACAACAAAACAAAATGTATACCATTGCAAAAAATAGGTCATTGACGCAATAAATATCCGCCAAAAATTGACTTCATTGTATGTTGAAAACAGATAAATAAAGTTTACCCATACATACATACATACATATGTATACACATACACATATAAATACATATCGTCATTATCAATGCTAAAAGTCATGTTTGAGATATTTTTGGAAATTACTTTTTTAATGCTCCTTAAGTTGTCTATCATACACACTCCCATACCAAGTTTCAAATTCAAACTTAAACAATGGTACATTACCAATTGCAGTCTCATCTGAATAGCTAATTTATTTTGCTTGAATAAAGTCAAAGACCTTCGTCGATGAGATTGAAATAATAAAAGAAGATTGAAGCGTTATCAAATCAATTTAGTTTTCAATTGTTGAAGAACTCAATATCTCAAAAGATATATTTAGAATTGTCACAGGCTTCCCTAAAGACACTAGGCATTTGGTTAAACGATTTGTGTCGGTTCTCTGCCTCGGCTAGAGAGTGACCTAAGCTTGATGTAGCCTCAGCATGAGTACATTCACTCTCCGCACAGTGCACATCTGATATTAATAAATGGAATGACTAGACTACAGTGCGTATGAGTGCTGTCCCTAAGCCAAAAAATTAGACACTGTCATGCATACTTTAGTGTAGACTCTCTCACGCTCCAAAAAAAATAAGCAAAATTTGTTCTTCGTCTCCAAGCGAATTATAAGATTTAGCCAAGTTTTATAAGTGCCAACAAAAAATTTCAATTTAGTTATAGTCTTCTGCGAGAGCTGCACCGCGTTGAAAATACTTTTGAAAATCGCGTATTTCATGAAAAAATTTATATCGTAAAATGTGGTTTGTAATTCCCGTATGACACTACGCTTTTAAAATAGTTTTTATTGAGCCATAAGAAAGAAGCAGTTTTTTTTTCTTATTCGCTTGTGAAACCTGCACCATTTTTTCGTGAGTCACCTTAATATATATGTACATGTATGCATACATATATAATATCAAGACTTATGGCCAATTTTGTTATGCTAGTATCTTTAAATACCAATTAGAACTCAGAGCTATGTATTAGACATTCTTAACAAATAAATAAACTATTGGACGACGAATTGTCCTTAAAAAATTCTTATAACATTCGGTATAATTGTACCGTCCTTTCATAGACATTGTCAGCCCTCTCTTGAACCATTTTGAAATCCATACTGCAAAAAACACAAATCGATGGCCAATGCAGTTTTTTTCCAATATAATCAACGTTCAGCTCACGAGCTTTTAAGCAGAACAACCTACTTAGTTAGGTTGAACACAACTAATATTTTGAAACATATGTCTGTACATTAGGGTGGTCCAAAAATCCATGTTGGGGAAAAAGTAAAGTCGGCATTTTTATGCTCTTACCCCCTTAGAATGGTTCTATATCGAAAAAATATATCCTTATTTTTGATTTGAAATCAAAATATATTTAGATGTCGCTTAAAGTTTTGCATGTTTTTTTATGTATAAAGGGGGAAAAAACACTTTTCGTTGGAATGGTATCGAATTCTTGAAAATCAATATTTTTTTATTTCTGTTTCTCATCAGGAGATTCACATTAATAATACCCAATTATTTATTTGGGGTGTGCCTCAGGGTTGCACTATTGGTCCTGTGTTCTTTGTTTTACTTATAAACGACATTGGTGTCTGTTTTTACTTTTAAATTTCTACTTTATGCGGACGGCCTGAAACATTTTATTATGAGGTTAACCGCTCGTCGGATGCTTATGCGACTTAAATAAGCTAACTGAAAGGAGCATTAGAAATAAACTGCCTCTTAATATTAATAAATGTTTACATATGACCTTGTCAAATCATTAAATCGAAACGCCTTCAAAATGCTCAACCTCATGCGTTGATCTTGACTCCTGGATCTAGGAGTGCTGTTGGATTCGGGATCTACCTTACCCTAAGTCGCATTCCCACTTGTCTTTTATGAGACGCTATGCTTAAGATTTCAATCTATGCCCTAAGAATTGAAAGAGGGCAGAGGAACTTCATTCTGGTTGCTCTGCAACCGCTTCCTTTTAATGAGCCCATTTCGTCTCCCATAAGTTTCTTGCTATTAGAAAGGTCATCTATTCCCTTATGTTCTTGTATTGTGATACCAGCGGTCCCCTTGATTCTTCTTTAGTCCAAGCTTCAACAATCCTTATAGAACGTCATCCACCGTTTCATATTAAAGTTGTGAAATCTAACTATTATAATTGCGTCCCCGTTATAATATCCTCAATAAACTTAATTTTGATTTGGCGATGCCCAGATCATTGTGTGTGTCGTCGATTCCGCGAGCGAATTCAACGCGAATCCAAAATAAAAC